TTTGTTTAAACTAGTTAATTTTGATATCAGTTAACTCAGGAAATAAGTAAGTTTAGTCACCTACTGTGACTGCAGCCAGTAATAATACATGTAATATCTAATAGCAACCTTTATGCTATAAAAGGCTAGAATATTTAGACAGAAAAGGACAATAGTATTTTTCATGACAACCATCTACAGCTTTAGTTTCAATATTAATGGTCTCAATTATGTATAATTTCTGTTTGTTGCAGAAAAAGCTAAAGAGACAACCCTTTTCCAGTCAACCTCTATTTCGAAGAAGGATTGTTGTAAGTTCAAAGCTTGTATAAATGTGGAGTACATGTCTTCAGAGCAAGGCAATACAACCAAGGAGATGACAAATCCGAGAAAAGTGCTTTGCAGGAGGCCTCTAGCATGGAGGAGTCAACAACTTAGCTTGTAAAAACCTCTTTGCCTAGCTGAACAGTAAAGTAAAATTGAAACAGTCACATGTAATCCGGTCATTACTCAATGACAATAGAAAGGAGGAATGGCTTTTCCTCAGAGCAGGAGGCACCAGATAATGCTCCTGAATTTGCTTTGTGATAAGGAAATATAAGTTAATCCAATGCTCTTAAAAAAATTCCAGATTATTTATGACTGGTCATACTTACAGGTACATGTACATGTAGCTCTGCAAATACAGTAATCCTTTAATCACTCTCTGTTTATGACACTGTTTTTTAGAAAAAGATAAATCTGTGTAAACAGTACAAATCCTGATGGTGTTGATTTGTCCTGAGAATTCTGGTGGCAGGTAGATCAAATTGGTTGATGTGATAAATTTTTCATTAGAATCCTTTGGCTATTGTTTGCAAGTAATGTACCAGTCAGCAGGTTAAAAAGGCCAATTAATGTACAAATGTTTCTTTTAAATCTATTTGCTTAACTGCAGGCATTTGAGTTCTACTGGCACCACTTCATAGTACATGTGTACTGATTACAGCAATTGCAACTGACCTGCTTGAACAAAAAACAACACAAATTTAGGCACATCCTGCTTTTTGTCATGATTTAGTATGGAATTTTGCAAAGGATTGCAACATGACTCAAGAAAAAGAGTAATGAGAGACAGCCGTGTAGTTATTTTGCAGGCTAGCCAGATCAACCTTTTGTACTACTTGTACGTGTATACTGAATTTAAAATAATTATTAGCTTCTTTCATTGGGACCAACTACAGTGACAATGGTAATGTTGACATGCTGTGGAATACTTACAGCTGGTCATTACTTTAACGACCCTCAATTTTCTTAGAACAGGGCAAGTACTAGAAGCTCCGGCTGGTACTTCCTCTAAGAGCATATCCAATACTATACAGGAACCATTAGCAACAAAAATGAAGTTAAAGAAGTCTGATCTGAATTTGAATAGCTACATGCACCTAAACTATTTCTTAGTTTGCTAAGTGCTATAACCCAGTTGTTATACCAGCAAAAATTGGAAACTGGTAGCAAGAATTAGGCCTTTCATTCTCATAGAGCCTAAAGAAAAAAATGCCACCAGAATCAAATTTTGTTTAATCTGTAAATAGCAATAAATACAAAAATACTAATTATTTATTAAAATGGGTGTCTTGAGGGTTACATTGAGTTGGAACAGGATTTTGTCCTTAGATGCAAAAGTTTAAGTAAGAAATAGTCTTGTCATAAGTAAATATTGGTCCAAGCTAAGGGTAAAAGGATTTTTAACCTGTTTCTGAGTTGCAAAAACCTAAACAACTGAAATAGGTTTGAGGCAACTCTGAAACACCTACAGCTGTATGTAGAATATCTTACACATTTAGATGAAGAACAATTTCCTTATAATATTAATAGTTAGTAATGATGTGATAGAGCATAGAGTGGAGACAAGTAAACATCAACGAACTGTAAAATTGGGAATTAATATGAAGAGCTGTATGTACAGCTGTATACTGTAGTTTGTAAAGTCTGTTATAATGTGTAAGCCACTTTGGTTTATGGAATAAATCATTTGAACATTAATGGGAGGTCACTGCTAGAATTTCTTTCAGTAACTTTAAAGTTTGAAGCTATAAACTTCAAGATTAATTATGGCCACTTGTTAGGAACCTGAAGTGAGCCATGTTATAATTAAAAATAATTTAAAAATTTTATCGCATTTGCTACAACCCAAGCAAACTCGTTTAAACCTTCGAAGTTGCATTTGCTACTTGAGAAAACATGCTCAATTTTATGGGTTTGATGACATTTGCCAACCAAATTAAAGTCAGAATTTGATTACATTTGCTACCTGAGCGAAAAATTGTACAATAGTAACAGTTTGATCAGATTTGCTGCTTAAGCAACTTTGTTCAAAACTTGACTTTTGACCACATTTGCCGCTACAAGCAAAATTCTGTGTTTGATCAAATTTGCACACCCTAGAAAATTTGTTCAAAGTTTAGGTTTGCTAACATTTGCTTCGTGAGCAAACATGTTTAATACAAAGAGTTTGGTTACATTTGCTATGCAAAGCAATCTGGTTTAATTATGAAAATTTGATCACCCATGATAACCCAAGCAAACATTGTTCAAATTAGATACTTCGCTCACATTTGCAAAGCCGCGTAAAAGTTCTGAAAATAACAGGTTTACATGCTTTTACATCTAAAGCAAAAGCTGTGCAAAACAGCAGATTTGCGCTATCATTTGCGTAATGTGCAAATATAGTTCAAAGAAACATATTTGCCTACACATTTGAACCATCTGCAAATGACCCTCAAATCCATGGCTGCCCATTATCTTTGCACCAAGATGTAAATGTTGTGCAAATGTGGCATTTACCGTCATTGCTACGGATAGCAAATCTAGTGCAATATCAGTCTTTGCTCTTGCGCAAAATTGTGCAAATGTGGTATTTGCTACACATTTGCTGTAATTTGGCTACCCTAGTAAATCCATTTTTTCGTCCAGTGTTAATACTGAATATGGCTAATACTTGATGAAAGTACCTCGAAGCAACACTTTTGCTCAAAGCTTTTTTTAATAAAAGAGACGGCAACTGAGTATTGTATACAACTTGACGTTCTTCTATTGGCCACCAGAAAAAAGGTTTATTTGGTAAAGCAAGAGCATGTGCATTTTTAACTTGATATCAGGAGGCCATGCACAGTGAGTCTCAAATCTTCAAAACATGCATAATTACGCCGGAGATAATAAACAAAATCGAATCATACAGAAAAACAATAAATATCAATCTCACCTTAGATGAAGCTCTAGAAAAGCAGAAAATGAGGTCAAAAACACACCTTGCTGTAAAAGCCTGCATAAATTCAAAATGCAGCCATCTATGAATCCCGTTTATGCGACGCTTTCCTCAACCGCACATAAATAATCAAACTAGCAAACCAGATTTTGAGTATTTGATTTAAAGAAATCTATTTCAAGCGTTGGCAGCATTGAAAGAACGCGAAAAGTTTAAAACTCAAATTGCACAAAGGCCGTTTAGTTCTCGGTAAGCAAACTTCAAGATGATGCATAGGTAAGTTTTTATCCATGAATCCACCTGTGAATTCACCTTGCCCAATCTGAGACCAGATTGGTGCATGAACGTTACTAAACTAAAAATGTATTTTTTAAGTTTTTTGTCGCAAATCGAACAGAAGGAACTTCAAGATTTTTACTAGAACAACTCCATTGGCTGCCTGAAAGTGAACTAGTTAACTTTCACCAAGATAAACGCCAGCTGCTCATGTATTGGACTCACCCTTCCCTTCTGTTTCAGAATCTCAACACCCCTACCCACAAAGCCTCTGCGGTCGGGTGGGTGGACGGTCGTACGCTGACGTCATAACCATATTTTCGGGCATCGATAGGTTTTCAATTTCTATAGCAATGGGAGCTAATGGAAGCTTCTAATATGCTCTCGGAGAAAAATCACTGTAGAGTTAATCAATAGCAAAATATCTGATCTATCCATTTTGAAAAGGCTGGCCATCTAGAGATCCACATGGCTCTTTCAAATCTCAACCCTGATGTCAGATTCCTCATTCTGGGTCATTGTGCTGTGATTGTTAACCTATCCTTTCTCTGAACCTACATTGAACAGGATGCAATGCACTAACCTTTGTTATTCAAGCAAGAAACTGATTGGAGTAATTGTCATGGGTTGGGGGGGGGGCGTCTTCAGATAGGGGGCGCGTTTTTTAGGGGCGTCTATTACAAACTTGACCGCTTAAAGAGGCATTTATTAGACAAAAGGCGTTCTTTTGAGGGGGCGTCAATTAGGTCATTTACTGTAACCAGATTTGTTTGCAAATGGCATACCTCTATTTAAAGCTAAAATAGCTCTTTACTTTAAGGTCAATGGTCGTAAGGAAGTTTTTAACAACTTATGTTCTTACAAAGGCTTTCAATTCAGGATTCCTTAAGTTTAGAGGAAGTAATGTTATGAACAAAGGTTTTTTTTTTCTTTCAAGACCTTTAATTCTAAAACATTGATTACGGCATTGGTAGCATAGTTGACATAAGTCCCCTTCCGGTCATATACAGACGTCTTATGACAATTCCCGGAAGTGCTACTTACAACGTGACAACACCTAACAAAATGCTATAAGAAAGGCGGGCGCGCTTAGAAGTAACTGAAAAATATAATTAGATTAAAATAACTTGAAGTTCCTGAACTAGCCTGACATACCAGCACGGCATAAGTATCATGTAAATGTCAGATCAGCTTTTAAGCTCAATTAAGTCTGGCTCCAGGCAAACTGTTCATTCTCACCGATAAGTTAAATCCTAACAAATAAACACTTGTTCAAGTAGTAATAACTGAATACTTAGTGACGTAAGTAAGCACATGATATTCATTTAAATACGAAAGGATCAAGAAAGACATTAAGATAGAGACATGTCTCTAACACACTTACTAACTTAAAGTTTACGCGGTATGTTTCACTAAGATTTCATCTCAAAGCAAGTCAATTTTACAGGTGATTGCCTCATGTCAACCATCAAAGAATTTGTCCTTGAAAAAACACCCCATGGAAATAATAGACGATTTACTGGCAAGCGATGTTGGGGAAGGAACGAGGAGCAGTTTTGGTGATACAATAAATCTTTCTGCGGGGGATGCTAGGGACGTGGAAAACTTCTACAGCACAGTACTCGCTACTGCCAAACTTCGGGGAGATAAAGCTGCTGAAGAAGAAGCGTATGGTATTCTTGGTTTGGTTTTTCTGACTCAGCGTGACTACAACAACAGCATAGAATATTTCAGCCGCGCTCTTGATATTGCCAAGGAATTGGGAGACAAGAAAAAGGAAGCAGATTATTGTCAATCTCTTGGCGATGTTTTCCTAAAAGTCGGCAATTTCAATAAAGTGATTGAGTACCAAAAAGTTGCACTCAGTATTTCAGTTGATCTGAGAGAAAAACGTATCGAAGGTAATGCTTATAACGGTCTTGGCAACGCTTTTCGAGGTTTGTGTAGGTATAAAAAAGCAATAGACTACTACAACCGCTGTCTCAGTGTTGCCAAAGATTTGGATGACAAGTCATTACAAATAACTGCGTATTTCAACCTCGGTCATGCTTTTGACAATCTTAGTGACTATAAACAAGCCGAAATTTTTAACAACCAATGTCTTAGCATCGCCAAAAGTTTAGGAGACACGTCTGGAGAGGGATTGGCGTACACAAATCTCGGCAATGTCTATTCTGGCCTTGGTGATTACATAAAATCCCAAGAATATTACAGCAGGTCCCTTAGTATTGCCAAAAATACAGGAAACAAGGGGGAAATGGCATATTTGTATGGACGCCTAGCCATTGCTTCCCTTAATCTTGGAGATACAAAAAACGCAATGAAATATGCCAATCTGCATCTTACTGGTGCCAAAGAAATGGGAATCAAAGATATGGAAGGAGGTGCGTACAGCACCCTTGGACATATTTATAACAAGCTTGGAGACTTTAATAAGTCCATAGAATACTACAATCGCCGCCTTGATATTTGCAAAGCTGTTGAAGACTTGGAAGCAGAAGGTGGGGCGTATGGTGGCCTTGGTTGTGTTTTTGACAGCCTCGGGTATTTCGAAAAAGCCATTGACTACCACAAGCAACATCTTCGTATTGCTGAAACCATTGGAGATAAAGATGGGGAAGGAATTGCATATGGTAATCTTGGCAACGCTTATCTCGGCCTTGAGGACTTCCCTGCAGCCCTCCACTTCTTTGAACACCGCCTTAGAATTGCGAAAGACCTGGGAGATAAGGCAGGGGAAGGTCGTGCATATGGCCATCTCGGTGGCACTTTTCAACGGCTGGGCAACTACAAGAAAGCCATGGACTATTACAATCGGCGTCTCTGTATTGCCCAAAAACTGGGAGACAAGGCTGGGGAAGGGGCTGCCTGTGGCTATTTAGGATCCATTTCCCTGCTTCTTGGCGACTACACGATAGCCATTGGTTGGAACGAAAAATGCCTCAGAATCGCTACACTTCTGGAGGACAAAAACATGGAAGGTAAAGCATACAGTGAGCTTGGACGATGCTTTGAGAAGCTGGAAAGTTTATCGAAAGCACTCGAAAACTACCGAACAAGCGTTAAAGTTTTCAATCAAATGAGGAGTCTTCTTCAGTCTCGAGATAAATGGAAGATAGGATTTCGGAACGAGTGTAACTATGCTTATACAGGCCTTTGTAGAGTTTTGTTAAAACAAGAAAAGATTGGTGAAGCTCTGGCTGCTGCCGAAGAAGGTCGGGCCCAGTCACTAGCTGATCTTATGACATCCCAGTATGGTTTTCGAGAAAGTCAAACCGAAGGAAAGCGACTAGACGAAGAAGAATTCAGCATGTTAAACAATATTTCATCAAGCACTATTTTTCTATCTGTGTCAGAAAATAAGATAAATATCTGGTTAATTTTGAAAGAGAAACCTGTTCTTCACCGACAGAAGACACTTTGCCGCCACTCTTCAGAAAATGCAGCAGCTGAAACATTACAGTCCCTAATCCAACTTGCCCTCGAAAACAATGGTGTTCGCGCAAATGTTAACTGCGAGAATCGATCCTTGGATGTGTTACGCGAAAACTGCTACACTTTGGAGCGGTCGTCCAAAAAGTGCTCACAGCATATTCTCCAAGAGGATAACCCTCCCCTAGCCGCCTTGTACAGCTATGTGATTGCCCCGATGTTAGATCTGATTGAGGGTGATGAGCTAATAATTGTCCCAGATGGTCCATTATGGCTTGCTCCGTTTGCTGCATTACTGAATCCGTTTTCCAAATACTTGTGCGAATCATTCAAAGTCAGATTAATTCCTTCGCTGACAAGTTTGAAAATTATTGCTCACTGTTCAAAATTCCACAGCAGTAGTGGAGCTCTAGTTGTAGGAGATCCAGACATGAGTGAAGTTACAAACAGCCAAGGAGATAAGATCCTGGAGCAGCTTCCTTTTGCCAGACAAGAAACACAGATGATTGGGCAAATTCTTAACACGGCACCTCTCACTGGAGAATTGGCCACCAAATGTGAAGTGCTAAAACAGATTAGTTCGGTTGCCGTGGTACACATTGCTGCACATGGGCGCATAGAGACCGGAGAGATAGCGTTGAGCCCGAATCCTGAAAGGAAATCACAGACCCCAGCAGAAGAGGATTACATGTTAACAATGGCAGATGTGATGAGTGTAAAGCTGAGAGCCAAGCTAGTTGTCCTTAGTTGCTGTCACAGTGGTCGGGGAGAGATCAAAGCTGAAGGCGTGGTCGGTATTGCTCGTGCCTTTATTGGTGCTGGTGCTCGTTCTGTTCTGGTGTCGCTTTGGGCCATCGATGACGAGGCCACTTTGGAGTTCATGAAAAACTTCTACCACAACCTTGTTGAAGGGCGAAGTGCGAGTGAGTCCCTTAACCGTGCAATGAAATGTCTCAGAGAATCCGAGAAGTTCGGCGACTTAAAATATTGGGCGCCTTTTACACTTATTGGCGATGACGTCACTTTCTCGCCAAACAAGAAGAAATCAGGCTCTTTAAATTAAATTGAGGAACTATGTCTCTGAAAGAGAGAGATAAAACAAAGTCATTACCACCTTATAATTGTATTTCTTTGGCCTCTTCTCTCATACCACCTTTAATCCGACTGTGAAGAACGTAAATGAGAATTACGTATTGCCTGACGTTGCCCAAGTAATGTAAGTTTAGGTACACGAAACGGTGCCCTTTCTCTCTCTCTTGACGAGATAAATGACGGCTGCGTGGGAGACTAGCACTCCAAACAAGCAAACAATATATTTCAATGATTTTCTGTAGCAAGGTCTATCTCATATACTGTGTTCTGTTTCGGTTTTGCATAAATGAAGTACCAACATAGAATTGGTTATTGCCCCTTAAAATTTGTAGATAAAACCAATTAAAAGGCTGAAAGCTGTTAAATTGAATGCTGAAAGCTGCTCAAATCATGGACATATTTTGCCGCTAAGAAATAGATCGAGCTAGCAAATGATGGTATTAGAATTAAAGCGGGCTTTAATGATGTGAAGAAAAAAATTCGATTGCTTACTGAGTTTGACTGATATCGTAATTTACAGTTACTGCCGCCTGTTGCGTTTAATGTTTTCATCGATTCTTAGATCCATGCTTTTACAGCTTTTATGTGATGAATTATTGTAAATTTTTAGTTTTTAATTATTGGAGTATATACTAGGGCCGTGGTTACATGTAAACTAGCTGATTAAGCCAAACATAAACTCCATAAACTTGTATCTTATCGTATCGTGTTAAATTACAATAAAGAGCAACGAGAACTAAATGTTAAAGGATCAGTGTCCGACTGATTTATCGTGTTTTCTCACAACACTAGTTTAAGGTGTAATTTTAAAGCGGTATAATTGTTATTGCCCCACGGTAGAAAATGATAAACCAAAGGAAACATTAAATTACACTACAATAGTAAATCTAGATCAATCTAATTTGATGGGCTTTTAATGTTTCACCTCCTTCATTTCGGTATTGCAGAGACGCTATAAAAAATTATTACGTTGCATACTGGACAATATCACATAAAAACAGATTGATTCATTGAGCTGTATTCCGGATTCCAAAGGTCAGGATTCAAAATTCAACAGCAAAAATTTCCGTCATCCGGATTCCCTTCCCTTACATAGGGCGAGGTAAAGAAGCACACCGTTGGGACCGGCAAGCATCATTGGTTGTTTACCATTTACAACATGCTGCCTTAAAATCCGGTTGGAAAGTTCACTCAACTCCCTTTATAGCGGACACTGTAGGGACCTCAAGTTAGTGTCCACATTAGCGAGAGTCTGTAATAGCGGGATTTTATTTCAGCTAAACGTCTGTAATTTATTTTTGCCTGGGATTTAGCTGATGTCCATTTTATCCGGGTGTCCATTACAGCGGGATGTTCGCAAGGCGAGAGTTGACTGTAGATAGAAGAAGTCCTGTTTTTCCAGATGGAATGTTCTAGATCGAAATTTGTGTTCCATTTCTTCTTGTTACAAGTTTTAAACCCTCACGGCTTTTTTTTCCAGGAAATGAAACTGATTTTTAAAAATGGTTAACGAGGTCCCAGGGTGAAATTTACCAGTCCTGTATTACGCATACCAAACTGTGAACCGACCGGTTTTCCCATGTAAATTGTAAACAACCAATCGTACCGATAATCGGGCGACTGGAGGTAGGCTGCACCCGCATGCGAGATGGATCGAGAGGACAGAGTATAGCGCGAAGCGCGAGAGATAAGCTTACAGCGCGGAACGAGGGGAAGACAAAACATAGTAGATTAAGTGAAGTTGTTAAATTGGCGATTGAATTCTTCTTGTGTGGTTGCGTTCTTATTTCTCGAGACAGGTCAGTTTTATAAACCATTGATATTACAGGGAAAAATTTGATGCTGATCACTCTTAGGGCTTAAAGGGACTATGTCACGAAGATATTGCTGTTTTCGGTCAATTCTTTACTGAAGTCATTACTTAGTGTCTCTACCCAGACACAAAACGCTCCTGTATAAGTTACAGAGAAGAAACCATACAAATTACCAAAATGTTTTTTTTGGCGATTTCTGGAGGCATAGCTTTCAAACTCGAAAACGTTGGCCCAATTTTAAGCTTCAACCCAAGTCCATCCTTGCCATCTGTTGCAATAGACGACGGGAAACAGTTTCAATGTCTGATTATAGTCTTGAATAACAAAACTGGACCATTATTTTTGGAATTTAAGACACGTGTTAGCTTTAAAAAAGGATAGCAAATTGCGTGACATAGCCCCTTTAAAGGGTTAACCGGATCAACCAGTCAAAATTCTTTCACTTGTAATATCTTCATGCTTATCCAATTTTCGCTGCCTTCTTTCGTGAGGAAGAGAAAAGAAAAACTAGATGTTGAAAAAGGAAGTCTTGTGAAAATTTAGGTTTCTGGGAAAAACGCCCACCTCTGCCCCTCCTTAAGCCAAAATTGGATAGGTGGGTAGTTTCCCAGAAACCTACCCTGCGAGCAGAGGCTACATTTTCGCGTTGGTCCAAAATCAAACCAGCTAACAATTTTGCAATTTGAGGAGAGCTCCAACATAAGAAACTCAGTAATGACTAGGTTGAGCAAACTGATCGTTCAACTTTCTTTGTCCCTTGAAAGTGCAAGTCTCTTCAATGCGTGTACCTTAGTGCCAACCGTTTTTCGATGGCATGGGAAAATGGAATTCAAATTCCATTTCCGTTTTTCGTTTTCCGTTTTCGCATAACATTGAAAAACAGATATGAATTTCGTTTTTCGTTTTCACATCACTTCGAAAAACGCATTAAAACTTCGTTTTTCGTTTTTCGTTTTCGCATCCTTGACTTTGAAAAACGGATATGAATTTCTTTTTTCGTTTTCACATCACTTTGAAAAACGGATTTGAATTTCGTTTTGTATGGCTTGTTATTTGAAAAACAGATCTGAATTTCGTTTGTCATTTGAAGTCCCCGGACACCCCCTCGGGGTTGACCGGGGAATTCACTTTTTATGCAAAGGAAAGCAACTGAATTGGCCCCGGGCCAAAGTGAGTGGTGAACTCCCCCGCCCCCATGATATGTCCTACACACACGGTACTCCTTTTTTTACAAGGGATGGCAAATAATATGATGATAGCCGCGAAAAAAACACGTTGATTTCGGAGCAGCTATCGCAACACTTGTATACCCTCGATGGAAAAGGAAAATGACGAATATTTGAAGACTTTGCAACTTGAAGTCACAAAATGCGAGATAAAAAAAATTACAAATCAAGTTTTACAGTCTTCTGGAGTTTTTGTAGAATGACTCAATTATTACAAGTGTCTTTCTTGTCGTCATTTCCACGATACAACTACATCATAAGTACTATAACAAGACTCTAACAAGCCATACAAAACCCGTTTTTCAAAGTGATGCGAAAATAAAAAGCGAAAAGCAAAATTCATATCCGGTTTTCAAAGTAATGCGAAAACGAAAAACAAAAAGCAAAATTCAAATCTGTTTTTCAATGTCATGCGAAAACGAAAAAAAAAATGGAAATGGAATTTGAATTCTATTCAATTTTTTGGCTAGGATGATAATGAATTTCAGAGAAACATCAGCTACTACTGCAAATGTCCTTACAGTATTTACACATGTATTTGCTTATATTGTAAGTACAACTCAGAATCTTTAAAACTCGCCAAAACACAAGGTTTAGTCATTTTTATTTCGAATATTTTTAGTACTTTTTTTGTTTATTTCTATTTAGTATTTACAAAAACAGTGAATAGCAATTTTCGCGCGTTTTGATGGGTTCCCGTAACTCGGAATATCCTTGGCTATTCACTGTTTCTTGACCGAAGCCAAGATGGCGTCTCTTTTCCAGACATTTTCCGACCGAAAGAATTTGAGCGATAAATGAAGCAGTCGTACAAACAAATACCAAGAAAGCGATAGCCTGCGTAGCTGGCGGTATTGTGTAGTAGTCTAGTGAGATTTGGCGGCGGAGCCGTTGTAATATAGTCGAGTGAGGATTTGGCGGCGGAGCCGTTGTAATATAGTCGAGTGAGATTTGACGGCGAAGCCGCGAGAAATACCGCCTGCCAGAGAACCATGATTTTTCGAATGCCGCCCACTTTTGTCACCTTAGCTGATCGCAATTAAATCAGCCAGTCAAAGAGAAACCTACAATTTGAAACTTCCGATTACTTTCGCGCCAGACAGTTTAAAAATAAGCGTTGACAGGCTAAACACGACTCCTAAGCTCCTGATAATGTGAAACGTGACCTTGTGAGTTTGCTTGAACAGAGGTTTTTTTATTTTCTCGGCTCTCGCGCGAAGGTTACTAGCACTACACAGTGCATGTATCATTCTCAACTTTGACTGAGTAAATCTTTTTTTGCAACACCAGGCTTAACATTAAAAGGTCATGAAGCTGGTTTGTTACATGCATACTGAGTAACCATTTCCGGTGGNTTGTTCAGCATGTCATAGATACTGGTGATGCTATGCCCATGAAACAAAGGTCGTATAGAGCATCTCCAGATGTTAATAAAAAAAATTGACCGTCAAGTGGACGAAATGTTTGAGAAAGGAATCATTCATGAGTCTGCCTCTCCCTAGAGCTCTCCAGTTGTTTTGGTCAAAAAGCAGGATGAATCATATAGATTTTGTCTTTATCTTCGTGATAGTAAAGTCACTATAGTAGATAGCTTTCCAATGCTTTTAGTTACTAATGCGCTGTATTCTTCGGGTGGCACATTTATATTTTCGACGTTCTACCTAAAAAGCGGGTTCTGGAAAATAGAGATGAATCCCAACTCGCGTGAAAATGTTAATTCATTTTTAACCATGCATTTTGGATTTTTGTTTGGACTGAAGCGTGTGCTGAAGCGTGTGCTAGCCCCACTGGTATTGGTTTTACGTCGGCATAAGTTCAAACTCGAAAGGAAGTAGAGGAAATTAGGGGAATGAACTTTTGGGACACCCTGTACTCCGGTTATAGCCATGGCGTTTGAGAAAGCTGTTAATAACGCTTTTGTGAAGGAGGCT